GCCTTGAATGTTTACTTGCAAATCACTGGAGTCTGAGGATTGGCAGAGGAAATGATGCCTTGGACTTAGAGGGCCTTGACAGTAGAAGGGCACACTACAAAAGCCCCATATCAAAATTCCTAAAGACCTGATAGAGATGAGTTGTGCAAAACCGGATTTAACAGTAAATGTAGTTATATTGGCTTGTGATAAAAAATAGCCATCAGGGCCAGGCGCGGTTGCTCATGCCTACAATCCCAGCACTTTGGGAGGCTGAGGCGGGTGGATCACGAGTTCAGGAGTTCAAGACCAGCCTGACCAACATGGTGAAACCCCATCTCTACTGAAACTACCAAAAAATTAGCCAAGCTTGTTGGTATACGCCTGTAATCTCAGCTGCTCGTGAGGCTGAGGCAGGAGAATCGCTTGAACCTGGGAGGCAGAGGTTGCAGTGAGCCGAGACCACGCCATTGCATTTTAACCTGGGCAACAGAATGCGACCCTGTCTCAAAATAAATAAATAAATAAACTGTAAATTGTAAGATATTACACATTTCCTTAGAGAGAAATTAAAAACTTACAAAGATGTACTTTTTCATAATGTACTTCTTTCCTTTCAAAGTCACAAACATCACATTTCTTCTCCATTAGTCTTAGTTCTAGCTTCTAAAAGGCTGTCCTGTTTACACAGCTGTTAACCAAAATTTTTCTAATATGCTTCCAAGATGATAAATACAGTCTTTAAAGTACTTCATTTACTTACCTGTCAAGACAGATGCAAATATATTATCAAAGAAAATGCTTTTTTTTTTGGAGACAGTCTTTTTTTTTTTTTTTTTTTTTTTTTTTTTTGAGATGGAGTTTCCCTCTTGTTACCCAGGCTGGAGTGCAATGGAGCAATCTCAGCTCACCGCAACCTCTGCCTCCTGGGTTCAAGCAATTCTCCACGAATGGTTTCTCTCTTTTTTTTTTTTTTGAGACGGAGTTTCGCTCTTGTTACCCAGGCTGGAGTGCAATGGCACGATCTCGACTCACCGCAACCTCCACCTCCTGGGCTAAGGCAATTCTCCTGCCCCAGCCTCCTGAGTAGCTGGGATTACAGGCACATGCCACCATGCCCAGCTAATTTTTTGTATTTTTAGTAGAGATGGGGTTTCACCATGTTGACCAGGATGGTCTCGATCTCTTGACCTCGTGATCCACCCGCCTCGGCCTCCCAAAGTGCTGGGATTACAGGCGTGAGCCACCGCGCCCGGCCGAAACTGGACTCTTATACCATACACAAAAATCAACTCAAAATGGATTAAAGACTTCAAAGTAAGGCTCAAAAGCATAAAATTCCTGCAAGAAAACACACGGGAAACCTTCATGACATTGGTCATGGCAATTTCATGCATATGACATCAAAAGCACAACCAATAAAAACAAAAAACAATTGGGATTATCTCAAACTAAAATGTTCCCACACAGGAAAGGAGACAACAGTGTAAAAGGTAACCTAGGGAATGAGAGAAGCTATTTGCAAACGTATCTCTAATAAGAGGTTAACCTCTAAAATATATAAGGAACTCCTCCAACTAAATAGTAAAATAACTAACAGCCCAATTAAAAAATGGGTTAAAGACTTGAATAGACATTTCTCCAAAGAAGACATACAAATAGCTAACAGGTAAATGAAAAATTACTCAATGTCATCAGTGAAACACAAATAAAAACCACAGTAAGGGCCGGAGCAGTGGCTCATGCCTATAATCCAATCATTTTGTTGGGCCCAGGCGGGAGGATCACTTGACTCAGAAGTTCGAGACCAGCCTGGGCAACATAGTGAGACCTCACCTCTAACATTAAATTCAAAATTAAAAAATTTAGAAAAAGAAAAGAACACAATAAGATATCACCTCACACCTGTCAGGATGGCTGTTAACAAAAAACAAAAGTATTGTGGAGGACACGGAGAAATTGGAACCCTTGGATGCTGTTGGTGGGAATGCAAAGCTTCTATGAAAAACAGTATGAAGTTTCCTCAGAAAATTACAGAGCTACCATGTGAACCAATAATCCCACTTCTGGGTATGTATACAAAAGAATTGATGTCAGGATCTTGAAGACATATTAACAGTCCTATTTAACACAACATTTGTTTGGCTTCATTCATCTGTCAATGAATAAAGAAATGTGATATATACACACAATATAATATTATTTAGCCTTTAAAAAAGGAAATTCTTGGTAGGGCATGGTGACTCACACCTGTAATGCCAGCACAGCACTCTGGGATGCCAAAGGGGGAGGATCACTGGAGCCTAGCAGTCCAAGACCAGCCTGGGTGACATGGTGAGGCCCCATCTTTACAAAAAATTAAGAAGTTAGCTGAGGCTGTGGTCTCAGCTACTGGGCTGAGGCTGAAGAGGCTGAGGTGGGAGGACTGGTTGAGTCCAGGAGGTTGAGGCTGCAATAAGCTGTGACTGTCAATGCACTCCAACCTAGGCAACAGAATGAGACCTTGTCTCACAAAACAAAAACAGGAAATTCTCCAATATACTACAAGATAGATGAACCTTGAGAACATTATGCTAAGTAAAATAAGCCAATCACAGAAAGACAAATACTGTATGAATTCACTTATATGAAGTATCTAAAATGGTCAAATTGGCCAGGCACAGTGGCTCACACCTGTAATCCCAGCACTTTGGGAGGCTGAGGCAGGTGGATCACCGGAGGTCAGGAGTTCAAGACCAGCCTGGCCAACAAGGCAAAATCCTGTCTCTACTAAAAATGCAAAATTAGCTGTACATGGTGGTACATGCCTGTGCATGGTGGGATAGGAGAATCTCTTGAACTTGGGAGGCAGAGGTTGCAGTAAGTCAAGATTGTTCCACTACATTCCAGCCTTGGCAACATGAGCAAAACTCTTGTCTCAAAATATAAATAAAATGGACAAATTCATAGAATCAGAGGTTACTAATCAATGCACATACAAGTCAAACAAGATGAATAAACTCTAGAGATCTGCTGTGTAACATTATATCTACAGTCAACAATAATGCATTGCACAAACATTTGTTGAGAGTGGATCTTATGTTAAGTGTTCTTACCACAATAAATTTTTTTTTAAAGATCATACCAAGAACTTAGTTATATATAAATGGATCAATACGAGGAGAATGTAGCAAATGGTAACCTGCAGAAAATGATCCCGAATTCAACTTTTTCAATAAGAGACTTAAATGATGCCTGTGTGGTTGAGACACAAAGAAGTGGATAACAGGCAGGAAATAAAAAGTCCCACTATCCGAATAAAAATTAAGTCCATAGTATGAGCTATGAGATTAACAATGTAAATTTGTGTTTTGTTTTGTTTTGTTTTGTTTGGGACAGAGTCTTGCACTGTCACACAGGCTGGAGTGCAGTGGCACGATCTTCGCTCACTGCAACCTCCACCTCCTGGGTTCAAGCAATTCTCCTGCCTCAGCCTCCCGAGTAGCTGAAATTACAGGCACGTGCCACCACACCCGGCTAATTTTTATTTTTTAATAGAGAAGAGGGTTTTGCCATGTTGCTCTGGCTGGTCTTGAACCCCTGACCTCAGATGATCAACCTGCCTCAGTCTCCCAAAGTGCTAGGATTACAGGCAAGAGCCATTGCTCCTGGCCTAACAATGTACATTTCACCAAGGCGGGTGGATCACTTGAGATCAGGAGTTTGAGACCAGCCTGGCCAACAAGATGAAACCCCATCTCTACTAAAAATACAAAAGTTAGCCAGGCATGGTGGCTGTACTACCAGCTACTCAGGAGGCTGAGGCAAGAGAATCGTTTGAACCCAGGAGATGGAGGTTGCAGTGAGCCAAGATCATGCCACTGCACCCCAGGTGACAGAGCAAGTCCCTGTCTAAAAAAAACCAAAACAAAACAAAAAGTAAATTTGAGGATTGCTTTGTAGATTGAATAAAGGCCCCCAAAATGTCCATGTCCTAATCTCTGGAACTTGCACGATATTTTATATGGTGAAAGGCACTTTGTAAAAGTACTTAAGGATTTTGAGATTGGGAGATTATCCAAGTGGGCCCAATGATGTAATCACAAATGTCCTTGTAAGAGGAAGTCAGAAGGAAATACCATCACAGAAGGAAAGGCAATGTGATAACGGACATAGGGACTCAAATTACTATGCTGGCGGCCACCAGAAGCTAAAAGAAGCAAGAAAAGAATTCTCCCCTGGAACCTCTCGAAGGAACCAGGAATTGTATTTTAGCCCAGTAAAGCTAATTTTGAACTCTGAACTCAGAAAGTATGACAAAATACATTTATATTGTTTTAATCCACTAAATTTGTGATTCACTGTAACAGCCATAGGAAATGAGCACAATTACTGACATGGTATCTCAGCAGTCAGAATCCAAGATCTGCATCTGTTTCATAAAATTCTTTAAAAAGCACCAAAGGCCGGGCGCAGTGGCTCAAGCCTGTAATCCCAGCACTTTGGGAGGCCGAGGTGGGTGGATCACAAGGTCAAGAGATCAAGACCGTCCTGGTCAACATGGTGAAACCCCATCTCTACTAAAAATACAAAAAATTAGCTGGGCACGGTGGTGCGTGCCTGAACCCAGGAGGCGGAGGTTGCGGTGAGCCGAGATCGCGCCATTGCACTCCAGCCTGGGTAACAAGAGCAAAACTCTGTCTCAAAAAAAAAAAAAAAAAGCACCAAAGAGGCCGGGCGCGGTAGCTCAAGCCTGTAATCTCAGCACTTTGGGAAGCCGAGGCGGGTGGATCACAAGGTCGAGAGATCGAGACCATCCTGGTCAACATGGTGAAACCCCGTCTATAATAAAAAATACAAAAAAAGTAGCTGGGCATGGTGGCGCGTGCCTGGTCACAAAGTGAGGCTCCATCTCAAAAAAAATAAATAAATAAATATACACAGGAACTGTTTCATTTAGGTCTTACCTAGTACAGTGAATCAACTTCACAGTGCAATGAGTAAGATACCAACATGAATACAAAAGCAAGACTACAAACTGATTATTTTCTTTTGGAGACTTTATGATCAATTCCAAATATACAGTACAGGGAAGATGAAATGAATAAGAAAAAAAATCATATTTAATTCCCCATCCACACTAAGCCATATTATTCAAAATGTGTTTCAAAATACTTAGCCAGATCACCAAATCTCAGTCACTACCTTAGTTTAAATATTTACTAAGAAAATAAGCAACAGAAATCCATTGTGAGACAGCATCTAGAGAGAACAGCTATACTGCTATATATAATTTATTAACTTAGTAGTTTTAGTCTCTCAATATTTAGCAAGTTTGTTTAAAAATTACCATTCCCATTGGTTTATACTGACATTAATATAAATCCATAATTTCAAAGTCAACATTCCTTTCACTGTGAACATAAGACTTCTTAAAAGATAGTTGTGGGTTGGGGAACAGTAATGACTATGGCTGGTGGGCACTGTTCAAAGCCAGAAAGACTGGCAGGCTTAGAAATGCATACACTACTATATATACACGCACTCTCAGTACACTACTGTTCCCCACATTTTTGCTGTACATTCTTGTCTCAAAATATGGTATAAATAATTCCCTTAAATTTGAAAAACAAGATGAATACATTTTCATCTTCATTTCAAAATAACCCTTTTAAATGAAAAAGAAGTTCCTCATGTTTGTTAAATTCGTTCAAAAGTTGGATTTAAATACTTTCTTCCTAACATGTACAATTTTTTTCAACCTTAGTGCCTCATTACAATCAGTTTGGCAGTAAGACCTCCAATGCTTTATCAAAAATGGCATTCAACAGATTATAAGATTGTTAAATCTGCATTTGAATCATTCTTACCACAATGAATTATAACAAAGTCTAAAAAATGTATGACAATTCATCGACACCCTTGGAACCTATCAATTATTGCAAATAATCTCACACGTGCATATAATTCAAACATAAACTTTGTGGGGAGGAGGTATAAAATAAATACTACAGTATTTCTTCAATTCTATTTAATGCTGCCAGCTGGTAAAATGAAAGATTAATATTACTAACAGGAAGAGTCAAACTATTTTAAGGACTGTTTTCTAAGTAGAACAATTTTGCAAAACAAAGATAAGCAAGAGCCTATGCAAATACATTTTCTTGTAGTGTAATGTAATTGCTAATATGAGGTATAATCTGTAAGCAATTAATACAAATATAAATAGGTATAAGCCACCACTAACTCACAGTCTGGTGAAAAGCTTCTCAGCTAAAGTAGTTTGAGGATAAGGTTAAGGGAAATGAGAAGGGATGGACAGGGCAGGTTTCCAGTGGGAACATCATTTACGTGCTTTATCATTATCATAATCCTGTATGTACCAGTCCATTGTTGCAGAAAGGTAAATCCTTTCCAAGTACGTTATACTTTATGTAGCACAGTAAAATTAAGTCCTACTAATGCTTCATTTGCATCTGTATTTAGATATACACATAATTATATATGCATATCAAAAACTATAAACAGAATTTTAAAACACTTTTATCTCATTTGGGGAAAGTTAACAGGTAAGACAAAACTATGTACTATAGAATTTTTTAGGATATCTAAACTCAGGGTAAAACCAAAGGAAAACATTTATAACTCTTTAGTAAATGGCTTGTGTGAAATCTCAAGCTCTCATTTTTTTTTTTACAGATAGGTTTGTTTGATGAGGATTGTGATCCAATGATTGTTTAGCAGCAATTTTACCAAACTGTAAATTCTTTTATTAACAGGCATTATAAACAGATAATACTAATCTTATTTAAAAACCGTGAGTGCCACACTGGTGAATATACAGCTTATGAATAACTTAAAAAGTATTTCCCATTTTAAAAGGCAAACCCAGCATACAAAAAAACCTATACTAAACAAAGAAGCTATAATATGGATACATGATTGATGTGTCTAAAATGATATATACAGTACATAATTAATGTTAATTATGTGATCAGTACATTTTTCCATATGATTCCCTTCATGCTTCACTTTCCCCAGAAACTGAATTCTGTACTTCCTCTTCTAAAATTGGTACAATCAGGTTATCCTTGGACATCAAATTATATTTCATCACAAATTTAGTAAACCGATGACACAAAAATGTTTCATTCTGTAGAGAGGAAGAAAAAAATGTTCTTTTAATTTACTAACCCAACCAAAAGACTGGAAATAATATCAATATATATTATTGTCATTCTGATAAGAATGTATCGAGATAATTAGTGAAATATACTTACTTCATATTCATCAAATATCTGCCGATGATGAAAATAAGCATGTGAAAATATTCTGTAAATCCTACGGCATACTGATCCTAGTTTCGCTACGGATGATTCCTTTATGCTAACCCTAGAAGTAGAAAAGGAATCACAGAGTCTTAGAACTGAATGGAATCTTAGAAACAATACAGTACAATTTTCTGAGTTTACAAGTGTGGAAACTGACACCTAGGGAAAATAAGTGACTACTCCAAGGTCACACTGAGAGTAAATGCCTGGAGCCCCGGCTCCTCACTTCTGGCCTAGTGTTCTTTCCACCTAACCACAGTGGCTAAGTTAAATTCAGTTTTGAAACTGTGTAACAGTTTAACGTAGTTAGAATAAATCCTTGACTATTCAAAATTTACTAAAACATCTATTTCCAACATTAATACATTGTCCACTAGAGGTGATTAAAACTCCTGAAAGGAATTATTGTTTTATACTACGGAAGTAGATTATTCTTCCTTTTTTTTTTTAAGAAATTAAGTCCAGGTGTGGTGGCTCACACCCGTAATCCCAGCACTCTGAGAGGTCAAGGCAGGTGGATCACTTGATGTCAGGAGTTCGAGACCAGCCTGGCCAACATGGTGGAACCTCATCTCTACTAAAAAATACAAAAATGAGCCAGGCATGGTCGTGGGCACCTCTAATCCCAGCTACTCATGAGGCTGAGGCAGGAGAATCACTTGAACCCAAGAGGCAGAGGTTGCAGTGAGCTGAGACTGCATCACTGCACTTCAGCCTGGGTGAGCAAGACTCCATATAAAAAAAAAGAGAGAGAGAGAGAAATTGTTAACATTATCTGCATATTTCTGATATTCTTTTTTAAAATATGTATATACAGAATATTGAGGCCAAAAGTCAGTATTTTTCTTAACATATTTCATATGAACTCTTTGAAGCTAATCATATTTTGGGGGAAAAAATTCTCTAAATCTATCCATCTGGTAACAAATAACCTTAATAAAATAAAAGGTAGTCATAAACTTCACTGATAATATTTTACATGTACAGACTTCCCAGATCTTAAAAATCAATGAGCAAGGATATGGAATCCTTCAAAAACAAGTAATTCAACTTAGAAAAGTCTGCTCTTTAGGCATGCTATATAAAGGGAGGCTAAGTCTAACTATCATAGAGATTCAAGTGATCAAGTATGTAAATATCCCAACTCCTAAAGCATAAGAGGGAGAGCTCTGTAGAATGACACACAGCAACAGGTACTGGCCTTGAGCTTTGAGAGCCAAGTGCTGCTGTTCAACCACAGTCCTAATTTCAAAACTCGAATAATTTGAACAAGCCAAAATACAAGAGCTAAAAAAATAAATACAATAATGCATTAACAAGCAACCTAATTTTACTTTTAAAATACCAATCCTGATGGGCGCTGTGGCTCACGCCTGTAATCCCAGCACTTTGGGAGGCCCAGGAGGGCGGATCACCTGAGGTCAGGAGTTTGAGACCAGACTGACCAACATGGAGAAACCTCAACTCTACTAAAAATACAAAATTAGCCAGGCGTAGTATTGCATGACTGTAATTCCAGCTACTTGGGAGGCTGAGGCAGCAGAATCACTTGAACCCGGGAGACAGAGGTTGTGGTGAGCCAAGACTGCCATTGCACTCTAGCCTGAGCAACAAGAGGGAAAATTTGTCTCAAAAAAATAAATATAAAATACCAATCATATACATTAAATCTAAAAGGTTTAACACTACGTTTAAAAGTTTCAATTACCTGCTGGGAAAATATTTATTGCTATTCAGAAGACATGCAGCACCATCAAGTGTGTGTCTAGTGTAGTCAATAGCAGGACACTACAAAAGAAAGAACCGAGAAATGCATCAACAAAGAGCTCTCTCTTAGGTTAGATATATTCATTATATGGTTATACCTTATTCCAAAGACATAAGCATTTTCTAATAATAAAGTTCCTTACAATTTCAGAATCCCTGTAAAATACAATGTTACATTAATAAGGTTTATTATCCCCATGAACTATATCACAATTCTAGATGATACAAAAATCAGTCTCCCAGTTTTATTCCCAACATCATTACCTAAGAAGAAAGTAACAATTACAGATGATAAGAATTCTAATTTATCTCTTTTTTTTTAAACAGGGTCCCACTCTGTCACCCAGGCTGAAGTGCAGTGGCATGATCATGGCTCACTGCAGCCTCTTACCTCCTGGACTCAAGTGATCCTCCCACCTCAGCCTCCTGAACAGGTGGAATTATAGGCATCTGCCACCATGCCTGGCTAAGTTTTAAATTTTTTTGTAGAGACAGGGTCTCACTATGTTGCCCAAGCTGGTCTTGAACTCCTGGGCTTAAGCAATCCTCCTGCCTTGGTCTCCCAGAGTGCTAAAATAACAGGCACGAGCCGCTGCACCTGGCTGAATCCCTGATTAATCCAACACTTTCCCTTTACAAATGAGGAAACTGAGGTTTTGAATGGTCAATGACTTACGCGAGATCATACAAGTAGGAAGAAGGACTCAAATTCAATAACCCAAATATACTGATTCCTATCATTTATTTTACCAAACAGCACAGATGCTTCCTTTCCTTCACAAGTATCTCCAGGGATGCCTTCTTATATCCTAAACAATATCCCTCATTATGTCCCTCACATTCTATTACCAATCTAGCAGCCCTCTAAAGAACTTTTCTCCCATATCACCTTTGAATTTTAACATGAAATCCCAAAGTTTCTTTATATTCTAACAAATCTGACTTACTCTGTTCCATTTATCAGAAACAATGAGAAAAAGAAACAATAAAACACTGTCTCATGGCAACTCAGTAAATTTATTAAAGGAAAAATAAAACTGCAAAGTAATTTTCCTCATCGAGTCCTGAGGGCAGACAGGGAGCAGTATCAAGGGGAAGGCAGTCTAGAAACAAATCAGGTAGTCAACCAGAAGGAAAAAACAACTAGAGGAAGGAGTAACAATGACTATAGCTAAATGACTCTACCCAGTAATTATTTTTCAAGTTTGAGACTGAAGCTGTTACTGAGAAATACAGTTTAACCAGCCGGGTGCAGTGGCTCATGCCTGTAATCCCAGAACTGTGGGAGGCCAAGGCAGGCAGATCACAAGGTCAAGAAATTGAGACCATCCTGGCCAACATGGTGAAACTCTGTCTCTACTAAAAATACAAAAATCAGCTGGGCATGGTGGTACGTGCCTGTAATCCCAGCTACTCAAGAGGCTGAGGCAAAAGAATCACTTGAACTCAGGAGGCAGAGGTTGCAGTGAGCCAAGATTGCACCACTGCACTCCAGCCTGGCGACACAGCGAGACTCCGTCTCAAAAAAATAATAATAAATAATACCATTTAATAACTACTAAATATGGCTTAGTGCCATGGCACTAAAAAATTATCTAATCAAAAAGTATTTTTCTAACAATATATCCATAGGAATTTTTTATTACTGGAATCACTGCCAAAAACAGTACCAGGAGCAATATTTACTGAAAAAACTACCTTTCTCCATATATATGACCACAGATGGGTTGGCAAAACAAATATCCCAAGCCACTGTGTTTCTCATATTTGTCATTTGGGTAAACAACTGGACAATTTTACAACCTTTAAACCAGAACCATCAACAAAAAAACAAGCAGACCCTTGAACAACACAGGCTTGAACTGCGTAAATGTATTTATGCTCAGATTTTCCCAGAGACAGCAAGACCAACTCCACTTCTTTCTCCTCCTCAGCCTACTCAACCACATGAACACAATGAGGAAGAACTTTACAATGATCCACTTAATGCATTAACAGCAAATATATTTTCTCTTTCTTATGATTTTCTTTCTTTCTTTCTTTCTTTTTTAAAGAAATATGGTCTCACTATGTTGACCAGGCTGGTCTCAAACTCCTGGTCTCAAGCAATCCTCCCATTTCAGCCTCCCCAAAGTGCTGGGATTATAGGCATAAGCCATCATGCCCAGCCCCTTATGATTTTCTGAATAACGTTTTCTTTTCTCTAGCTTACTTCATTTTAATACAGTATATAATACATACAACATACAAAATGTGTGTGAACTGATTATTACTGGCAAGGCTTTCAGTCAACAGCAGGCTATTAGTAATTAAGTCTTGGAGGAGTGAAAAGTTATACTCAGATTTTCAACTGCGCAGAGGGTTGGCATCCCAACCCTTGAGTTGTTCAAGGGTCAACTGTTATAATGCAAGCCATACATTTAATTTTAAATTTTCTAGGCCTAGTGTAGTGGCTCACACGGTAATTCCAGCACTTTGAGAGGCAAAAGCGGGAAGATCACTTAAGCCCAGGAGTTCAAGACCAGCGTGGGCAACACGTGGGCATTTGTAGAGATGCCCCTATCTCTACAAAAAAATTGAAAAATTAGCCAAGCAAGGTGGCATATGACTGTAGTCCCAGTTACTAAGGAGGCTGAGGCAGGAGGATCACTTGAGCACAGGAGGTCAAGGCTGCAGTAAGGCAAGATCATGCCACTACATTCTAGCTTAGATAACAGAGTAAGATTCCGTCTCAAAAAATTAATTAACTTTCTAAGAGATACATTAAAAAGGTAACATGAGGCCGGGCATGGTGGCTCATGCCTGTAATTCCAGCACTTTGGGAGGCCAAGGCGGGCAGATCATGAGGTTAGGAGTTCAAGACCAGCCTGGCCAACATGATGAAACCCCATGTCTACTAAAAATACCAAAAAAAATTAGCCAAGTGTGGTGGCACACGTCTGTAATCCTAGCTATTCAGGAGAATTGCTTGAACTCAGGAGGCAGAGGTTGCAGTGAGATGAAATTGTGCCACTGCACTCTAGCCTGGGCGACAGAGTGAGACTTCATCTCAGACTGAAAAAAAAAAAAAGGTAAAATGGGTCGGGCGCGGTGGCTCAAGCCTGTAATCCCAGCACTTTGGGAGGCCGAGGCGGGTGGATCACGAGGTCAAGAGATCGAGACCGTCCTGGTCAACAGGGTGAAACCCCATCTCTACTAAAAATACAAAAAATTAGCTGGGCATGGTGGCGCGTGCCTTAATCCCAGCTACTTAGGAGGCTGAGGCAGGAGAATTGCCTGAACCCAGGAGGCGGAGGTTGTGGTGAGCCGAGATCGTGCCATTGCACTCCAGCCTGGGTAACAAGAGCGAAACTGTCTCAAAAAAAAAAAAAGGTAAAATGAAAGAGGTAAAATTAATTTTCATAACGTAGTTTCTTTGCCCTACTATATCAAAACTATTACCATTTCAGCAGCTAACTGACATAAAATTATTAATGGGTTACTTTTTGTCTTTTTTTAAATTAAGATACAATTGATACAACTAAAATTTACTCTTAAAAATTGAGTAGTTCCAATCAGGCGCGATGGCTCACACCTGTAATCCCAGAACTTTGGGAGGCTGAAGTGGGCAGATCACCTGAGGAGTTTGAGACCAGCCTGGCCAGTATGGTGAAACTCCATCTCTACTAAAAATACAAAGTTAGCCAGGTATGGTGGCCCATGCCTGCAATCCCAGCTACTCAGGAGGCTGAGGGAGGAGAATCACTCAAACCCAGAAGGCAGAGGCTGCAGTGAGCCAAGATCGTGCCATTGCACTCCAGCCTGGGCAACAAGAGAGAAACTCCATCTCTAAATGAGTAAAAACTCAGTAGTTTCTACTACATTTACAAAATTGTGCAACCATTACCACTAAATTCCAGAACATTTCATCATCCCCCCAAAAAAACCCTGAACCAATTAGTAGTCACTTCCCATTCTCTCCTTCCCCTATCCCTAAGCAACAACTAGTTCTGTCTCATAGGATTTACCTATTCTGAATATTTCATTAAAATGAAATAATGTAATAAGTGGCATTTTGTGTCTGGCTTCTATTAGTTTTCAAGGCTCATTCATGGTGTAGCATGAATCAGTACTTTATTCCTTTTTTTTTTAATTCAAAACTTTTTAGCCTTTAATGTTTTTAATATATACAAAATGCTGTACTGCACATTTTCGCTTTTTTTTTTTTAAGACAGAGTCTTGCTCTGTCACAAGGCTGGAGTGCAGTGGCATGATCCTGGCTCACTGCAACCTCTGTCTCCCAGGTTCAAGTGATTCCCCTACCTCAGCCTCCTGACTAGCTGGGACTACAGGCTACTACAGCTAATTTTTTGTGTTTTAGTAGACAGGTTTCACCATGGCCAAGATGGTCTCGATCTCCTGACCTCATGATCTGCCTGTCTCGGCCTCCCAGGAAGTGCTGGGATTACAGGTGTGAGCCACCGCACCCGGCCATGTTTCTCCCTTTAAGAGTTCATTCCTGCCGGGCGCGGTGGCTCAAGCCTGTAATCCCAGCACATTGGGAGGCCGAGGCAGGTGGATCACGAGGTCAAGAAATCGAGACCATCCAGGTCAACATGGTGAAACTCCGTCTCTACTAAAATACAAAAAATTAGGTGGGCATGGTGGCACGTGCCTGTAATCCCAGCTACTCAGGAGGCTGAGGTAGGAGAATTGCCTGAACCCAGGAGGCGGAGGTTGCGGTGAGCCGAGATCGCGCCATTGCACTCCAGCCTGGGTAACAAGAGGGAAACTCCATCTCAAAAAAAAAAAAAAAAAAAGAAGGCCGGGCGCGGTGGCTCAAGCCTGTAATCCCAGCACTTTGGGAGGCCGAGGCGGGTGGATCACGAGGTCGAGAGATCGAGACCATCCTGATCAACATGGTGAAACCCCATCTCTACTAAAAATACAAAAAATTAGCTGGGCATGGTGGCACGTGCCTATAATTCCAGCTACTCAGGAGGCTGAGGCAGGAGAATTGCCTGAAGCCAGGAGGCGGAGGTTGCGGAGCCGAGATCGTGCCATTGCACTCCAGCCTGGGTAACAAGAGCGAAACTCCGTCTCAAAAAAAAAAAAAAGAAAATGGCAAACACAGCTTTATAATATTCCATTTTGTATATCTATGCTACATTTTGTTTCTCCATTCTCACTGTGGTTTTTCTTTTTCTAATCAAGCATGGTTGTGGTGAAGACAACGCTAATCAGCTTAACAATAACACACAACCCTTACACCAACTCTCTTCGTGGTTTTGAGATCTGCATTTACTTAATGACTAATGTTGAGCATCTTTTCATGTGCTTACTGGCCACTTCTGAATCTTTTTTTGAGACAAGGTCTCTCCCTGTCACCTGGGCTAGAGTATAGTGGTGTGATCTTGGTTTACTGCAACTTTTAACCCTTGGGCTCAGGCGATTCTCCTACCTCAGACTCCCAAGTAGCTGGGACTAAATATGCACACCATCACACTCAGTAATTTTTTTGTATTTTTAGTGGAGATGGGGCTTTCACCATGCTGCCCAGGCTAGTCTCAAATTCCTGGGCTCAAGCTATCTAGCCACCTTGGCATCCCGAAGTGCTGAGATTATAGGCATGAGCTACCACACTTAGCCTCATGAAGATTTACAATTACGTTTTTCTCCAAGAATTTAAAAACATTAGCTCTTACATTTAAGTACTTGATCCATTTTGAGCTAATTCTTGTGCACAATATGAGGGAGGGGTCCAACTTCATTTTTTTGTATGTAGATATCCAGTTGTCCCTCAATGAGATATTTTACGTCTTTTTGTGTTTTTTTTTGTTTTGTTTTTTGGTTTTTTTTGAGGCAGAGTATCACTCTTGTTGCCCAGGCTGGAGTGCAATGGTGCAATCTTGGCTCACTGCAACCTCTGCCTCCCGGGTTCAAGTGATTCTCCTGCCTCAGCATCCCAAATAGCCGGGAATACAGGCATGTGCCACCATGTACAGCTAATTTTTTTGTAGTTTTAGTAGACAGCATCTCAACCATTACACAGTAGATATAAGTACAATGTGCCAGATGTTAATCTGTAATAGCCAGTAGATCATCAAGTGAGTTCTAACCCATGTAATTGCCCAATTATGAAAAATGATGCTAATCATAAGAAATCCTAAAATAGCACTGTAGCAATAACCCCACAGCAAGGAACTCAAAATGAAATGGCAAAATAAACAGTGAACTAAAAACCCTTAAAAAAAAAAACTTGTCTATTGTCTTGGAGAGATATAGGCTGTAATTTTTTTTTACTCTATTTCATAAATCCTCACCTCTTTTGGAGTTTTATGAGCTGCACAAAGAAAAATCCATTGTTCAGTTGCTGTCATTTGAGTGCAAGTATCTGGATGGCATTCACTCTGTTAAAAATAATTATATTTCTTAATATGTAAAATAAAAAAGTGTATCATTTCTGTTACTATATTTTCATTAAAAATCCTAGCAGAAAGTAAGTTAGAAATTTGGACAAGTTTTTGTAAGCACATTACATTATAAAAATAGAAAAAAATCAGAACTTTCAATTATAACTCTAACTTAAAGAAAGTATTACCTGAAGTTTGACAGCAAGTCCATTTAGCTCAAGGCAGAATTGCCTGAAAATGCAAATATATAAACAAAAAGTCATATCTATTCTCCACTGCAATTTTTAGACTATTAGCTGCAAAAAGAGAATCCCATCAGTATCATCCCTCCTCCCTTATTATCATTATAAAAATCACCTGAACTGACAATAGCACATTTCTTCCAAAGACTTACAGAAAACAGAAATATTTTCTAAAAATAGAAAACCAATAACCCTCATAACATTCAATACCAAAGGTCAGTGAGCTGATCATTCTAATATATAATAGAAATTAGTACAATTTTTCAGGGAAGTAATTTGGAAATATTTACCAAGACTTTTAGGAAGTGTATACTTTTTGACTAAGTCATTCTTCTAAGAATCTATTATAATGAAATAATCAGATCTGCCTACAGATAAACGTATAAAGATATTCACAGGAGCTATATATACATATGAGAAAAATTCAGCAATTAGAGGGTAGCAAATGTTGGTATACAGAAACATTCAAAGACATTACAGCTGGGTATAGTGGCTCATGCCTGTAATCCCAACACTTTGGGAGGCCGAGGCGGGAGGATCACCTGAGATCAGGAGTTTGAGACCATCCTGGCCAAAATGGTGAAACACCATCTCTACAAAATTATAAAAATTAGCCAGGCATGATGGCGGGTGCCTGTAATCCCAGCTATTCAGGAGGCTGAAGAGGTAGAATTGCTTGAACCTGGGAGGTAGAGGTTGGCAGTGAGCCAAGATCACACCATTGCACTCTAGCCTGGGCAACAAAGTAAGACTCAGTCTCAAAGAAAAGAAAAAGAAATCCCCCAAAAAAGAAACAAACCAGGACATACATGAACAAATTTGTTAGGCAAAACTTTATTTGTTTATTTACTGGACACTGTACCAGAAGAAAACAAAAAGGCAAGGGTCGAATTTTCAGTTGTTTGTAACTGCATTTCTTTTCCGGATCCCTAATAATGCTGTCCCCTTAGTTATAAAAATAACATCATTTCAGCCGGGCGCGGTGGCTCAAGCCTGTAATCCCAGCACTTTGGGAGGCCGAGGCGGGTGGATCACGAGGTCAAGAGATCGAGACCATCCTGGTCAACACGGTGAAACCCCGTCTCTACTAAAAATACAAAAAATTAGCTGGGCATGGTGGTGCGCGCCTGTAATCCCAGCTACTCAGGAGGCTGAGGCAGGAGAATTGCCTGAACCCAGGAGGCGGAGGTTGCGGTGAGCCGAGATCACGCCATTGCACTCCAGCCTGGGTAACAAGAGCGAAACTCCGTCTCAAAAAAAAAAAATAATAACATCATTTCTAAATCACCATTCACCCTACTGCCCTATATCTAGTAGGCTGCATGTTATGTGTTTTTGAGTTGTTTTCCACTAAGTGGTAATAAAGACTGGTGGTGATAAGTGTCAAGTTTCTTAACTCATCTAACCCTTTTACAACCAACAGCAAAATTAACTTGATTCAGCAGTGCTGTGGGTATAATCTGTGACAAATAATGCAAAACTTACAGCTTCAATTTAATGTAACACAGGGCTAACATGTACACAGTTGTGCAACTGAAGAGACCAACCAGAGCTGGAATCCAGCCTACATTCCAGTCACCATGCATGTATACTGACATAAGGAGTACCTTCTCCTAATCACAAAGATTCAACATGAGCTAGTGGGAGATTTGACTGAAGTCATGACCCAAGTCAAATTAACATCATTATATAATCAACTGCATTAACTAAAAATGGCAAGTATACATCCTCAAATCAATAAAGGATGTGTGAGGGAAAAAAAAAACTCTTCCTGGTCAACTAACAAAAATGTACACAAGACAATAAAAGATAAAATATATATACACGACAGTTACTACACAATCCAGTCCAAAAAGTGGCTGGTAGAAAAAAATAAGTAAAAATAGCACCAGAATAAAACACTTGTGAGCCATATTTTATACAAAGTTTTATGTAATGTTTTAGTATGTTATGTATAATGTATGTTTCATAGAATAACTTAAATAGGGAGGTAAATGTTTTCTTAGACCTGAAAAAAAAAACTTGTACACTAAAATCAGCCCTTACTTGTTAGGAGTTATGCTTGTAATGAAAAAAATAGCCAGGCACAGTGGCTCTCACCTGTAATCCCAGCATTTTGGGAGCCAAGGCAGGCAGACTACAAGGTCAGGAGATCAAGACCATCCTGGCCAACATGGTGAGAAACCCTGTCTCCACTACAAATACAAAAATTAGCTGGGCATAGTTGCATGCACCTGTGGTCCCAGCTACTTGGGAGGCTGAGGCAGGAGAATCCCTTGAACCTGAACCCAGGAGGTGGAGGCTGCAGTCAGCTGAGATCATGCCACTGCACTCTAGCCTGGTGACAGAGCAAAATCCCACTTCAAAAAAGAAAATTAAAAAACATGCTTACTTTCATTATTAATGCCAAAATATAAGAAAGCAGTTATTTTCTAGGCTGATTAATAAAGCAAAAGACATACTAAAGTGCTCTCTACTTTGATTATAAAAATGGAAAAATATCTACAGACTCATAATTTCAATTATTGTGCATTTAGATATATTAAAAAGTTAGAAAACAGTCAAGTAAACTGGCTAAAAACTGGCAAAGGGTACAAAGAAGTATTAGCATCCTGAAATTGCTGAATTGTTGTGACATGACATTATGTCTTAGCCATATCTAAAGAAGTAAGCAGCATCAAAAAGTAAATATTTTTTTAAAGTACGTTCCTTGTCTACAAATTGAGGCACAAAACACAGGAAATATGTTCTAATTTACTGAGGAAAAGTCATATTTCTACTCTACTTATCTAAAAATCAACTTACAAATAATAAACTCCAATGAACACATACTGCATTCTCTGTATTTATTAATTATCTGTTAACTCATCTCAGCTCCCATTTGCACTGGAAATTTTATAACTTCAAGAAACACCTAGTAACTTCAGAATATAACTGCTTCTAAAGTTATCTCCACCTAGCCACTAGTTACCAATTTTTTCATTCAAAGGGTATTACAAAAAGCACCAAAACTCCTTACTTCAGGATTACAATTAATCTCTATTTACCAAAGAGATGACTGAAAGTTTGCAATAATTTACAGGTAACTTATCAGATACCAAATATAGACTAGGAACTAGAGGTAATCCTCTACAAAAACATAAAGTGGTCAGGTACAGTGGCTCATGCCTATATAATACCAGCGCCTTGGCAGGCCAAGATGGGAGGATCACTTGAGCCAAGGATTTTAGGACCAGCTTGGGAAACACAGTGAGGCTCCATCTCTACAAAAACAAAGAGAAAAAAAAAAGACAAAAGACAACAGAAGTTACAAATAAATGGGGAAATGGGCCAGGAGGTGGCTCACGCCTGTAATCCCAGCACTTTGAGAGGCCAAGGTGGACTAATCACCTATGGGTGGGAGTTCAAGACCAGCCTGACCAACATAAAGAAACTCCATCTCTACTAAAAATACAAAAACTAGCTGGGCATGGTGGTGCACACCCATAATCCCAGCTACTCGGGAGGCTGAGGCAGGAAAACCTCTTAAAACCCAGGAGGCGGAGGTTGCAGTGAGCCATGGTCACGCGATTGCACTCCAGTCTGGGTAACAGGAGTGAAACTCCATCTCCAAAAAAAAGGAGGGCGGGGAGAGGAAATGCTGTATTAGCGGTTAAGAGACACAATCAAGGAAAATCATGAAATAAGATCATAAACCCCAAGCTGGCATGGTGGCTCATGACTGTAATCCCAGCACTGTGGGAGGCCAATGTGGGAGGACTGCTTGAGCCCAAGAGTTTGAGACTAGCCTGGGCAACATGATGACACCCTGTCTCTACTGAAAAAAAAAAAAAAAAAAAAAAAAAAACGAAAAATTAGCCAGACTTAGTGGCGTGCACTAGTAGTCCCACCTAATCAGGAGGCTGGGCGGGGAGGATTGCTTCAGCATGGGAGACAGGTAGACCTTAATAAACACAACAAGACTGCAATGAGCCAAGACTGCACCACACTGTACTCCAGCCTAGGCAACAGATCAAGATCCTGTTTCAAAAAAAAGGCTGGGATAATAAGGCCCAAACCAATAAATGTAGAAAGGGTGGCTCAACACTTTGGGAGGACAAGATAGGAAGACTAGTTGAAGCCAGGAGTTTGAGACTAGCCTGGGCAACATAATGAGATCCTGTCTCTACAAAAAATTTAAAAATTAGTGGGGCATACTGGCCACACACCTATAGTACCAGCTACTCTGGAAGCTTAAGTGGAAAGATTGCTTGAGCCCTGGAGGTAGAGGCACAGTGAAGTGATTGCATCACTGTACTCCAACATGGACAATAGAATGAGACCCCATCTCAAAAGTAAAAAATAAAAAAAGGTAGAAAGGTGCAGAGGCAGGTCCAAGTTATCAGCTCTGAAACCACCTTTCAAAATGAGTGACTCTGTAGCACAATTTGATCAGGAAACAACCAATGAACAAAGTTGAAAACCCTGTAACACTGAAAATGACAAACCTTTAAAATTTGGCTTCTTAGTCTGCAGTTACATGGTAAATTTTATGATTCATAATGATCATTAATAAGAAAGGTAGTTTTATGAGGGGCACTATTAGTATTTTAATATAGCATGAGGACCTACCTTAAATGTTCATACTTCCATACACCTTCATCTTGGCCTTCAGGTGGTTCAAGAATTTTGTCAATATTGGAACAATCAGCTCTTATATTCTGTTGAATATACTAAAGACAAAGAAGTTCTTATGGTTAATTAAATTATACCACCTGGTAAATCTTAAGTACATATAATTTTTGAATACATAACTGTTCTTGTGGTTCAACTTGGGTTATATACTAAATAGGAAACCAAGTATAGAACCAAAATCAGTAACTCAGAAAAAAGTAGGTTACCCTTACTTACTTACCCTTCAACTTCATTTGAATAGAATCTACTACATAAATGTAGATATCATATTTTTCAGGACTGGAATTGAGATCAAAATTGCAAACCATAATTACTTTTTTTTTTTTTTTTTTTTGAGGCAGTCTCGCTGTGTCACCAAGGCTTGAGCACAGTGGCACAATCTCAGCTCACTGCAGTATCTGCCTCCTGGGCTCAAGCAATCCTCCCACCTCAGCCTCCCGAGGAGCTGGGACTACAGGCACACATCATCACACCCGGCTAACTTTTCCATATTTTGCAGAGACAGGGTTTCACCATGGGCAATGTAAATATAACTATTTCATATTTACATATATAATGTGAGGATCTGTATGGTATGTTCATTAGATCCAATAAAAGTTGTTTTAAATGACTAACAGAAAAAAACTAAGTCTAAAAAAAAAGAAGGCAAGAGAGGGTCACTCTCAATTTTTAAAATGTAGTAACATAAAAATTTTAATATTGTGATTCCATTTACATGAAGTGTCTAGAACAAGGAAATCTATTGAGACCAAAAATAGATTTGTACTGGCATAGGGTTTGAGGGCAGAGAGAAAGGCAGAGGAGAATGAAGATGGCTGCTAATGGGGATGAGGTTTCCTTTTAGGAAGGATAAAAATATTATAAAATAAGACTGGTATGGCTGTGCAACTGTAAATATAATCACTCTAACTGTATGGGGATTTGTATGGTATGTTCATTAGATCCAATAAAAGTTGTTTTAAATGACTAACAGAAAAAGACTATGTTTAAAAAAAAGAAAGCAAGGGAGGGTCACTTTCAATTTTTAAAATGTAGTTAACATAAAAATTTAAGTTTCAGATCTGTTTGATGCTTTGTACAATCTATGATTTTGACATTCTGAAATCTGAATAGGATAGAGTAGATTAAAAGGCACGATTACAAAAACTTACTAACCATACGGCTTTCTTGAGCCAATCAATTTTGCCTGCTTCGGACAATCTTTCTTATCAGTAGCTTACTCAAACACTTTTTTTTCCAAACAAAAGGTCTCACATATTTTGTACTGGACCAGCCTACTGCAGAGCATAGAAACCAAAATGAAACCATTGTTCCAAGACAATATGTCCAACTGTATGGTGACATGATAGTGACCTTGATATAATATTAAATGTGTGTGCCATCTCACATACAATTCCTTCTAGATCCAGCTTGGTTCTTTTCCAATGTCTCCTCTTAGAGTTGTACCTGATTTTATTACTCAGTTTTCATCTGAATCCACTGGGAAATGGGATGATTTTGCTTTTGCATCTTGGTGGGGAATCACTTTATTCTAAAAGTCTTGTGGAAAGACATGGCAAAAAACAGAGTCATATACACACACCACAATGACAGGGAGAGGGATCAAACACTTTTTTTTTTTTTGAGACGGAATTTTGCTCTTATTACCCAGGCTGAAGTGCAATGGCGCAGCCTTGGCTCACTGCAACCTCCACCTCCTGGTTTAAGCAATTCTTCTGCCTCAGCCTCCTGACTAGATGCAACTATAGGCATCCGCCACCACGCCCACTAATTTTTGTATTTTTTGTAGCGACAGGGTTTCACCATGTTGGTAAGGTTGGTCTCGAAATCCTGACCTCAGCTGATCCACCTGCCTTGCCTCCCAAAATTCTGGGAGTGAGCCACCACGCCCCAGCCTCAAATACTTTTTAATGACTCTTAAACTACTGTTTAAACCACTCTGACTTTTTTATCTCATCCCAATGTTTCAAAGTTTTGATTCCCTCTCCTTAAGGAGATACGACTAAATTGTATAACTTCTCCACAGGCCACCTTAAATTCCACAATTCTGTCCAAATCTCTCGTTCTCCCAATACACTCTAGCATTCCCTGATTATTCTAGTCCTCACAGAACTCTATCCAATTTCCTGCCACATTTGTAATTTGTATAATCTAAATTAGCAATCTGTCTATTCATTTTTGTATTTCCCGTTCCCACTATACCTTCTATGGACAGAACTTTTTTGTTGTTTTTGGGACAGAGTCTCGCTCTGTTGCCCAGGCTGGAGTGTAGTAGTGCAATCTCAGCTCACTACAACCTCCACCTTCCAGGTTCAAGCGATCCTACCACCTAGCCTTCCAAATGGCTGGGACTACAGGCATGCATCATCATGCCCAGCTGATTTTTATATTTTTAGTAGAAACGGTTTCACCATGTTGGTCAGGCTGGTCTTGAAGCCCTGACCTCAAGTGATCCGCCTGCCATGGCCTCCCAAAGTGCTGGGATTACAGGCGTGAACCACTGCACCCAACATTCTACGGCTAGAACTCTTAACAGCATTTATTTCACACTTAACAGCACCACTTACTAGCACTTATTTTCCTGTGTCTCCATACAGTGAGTCCCTGAACACAGAGACTTTTTTTTTTTTGAGAGAGAGTTTCATTCTGTCACCCAGGCTGGAGTGTAGTGGTATGATCTCAGCTCACTGCAACCTCTGCCGCCTGGGTTCAAGCAATTCTCCTGCCTCAGCCTCCCAAGTAGCTGGGATTAAAGGCTTGCACCACAACACCTGGCTAAATCAAGACCGCCTAAGCTAATTCAAGACCACCTGCTAGTCTTGAACTCCTGGGCTCAAGCAATCCTCCTGCCTCAGCCTCCCAAAGTGCTGGGATTACAGGTATGAACCTCTGGGCCCAGCCCAATTTTAATTATTTAACCATATATTTAGTAACTGACTTTACTTATACAATTAAATATAGTATATACTTATACTATATTTATACATACATATATGTATACTTATACACACTATATTTATATACACTTATGTATATACTTTTATATAGAAGTATAGGATACTTATATATATGTGTGTGTGTGCATATATATATACCCTTATATAAGTATAGTATAAGTATATATAAACATAGTATAAGTATGTAAGTATACATATACAAGTATAAATATATAGTATATATTTATATAGCATAGTATATTTATAGTATATATGTATAAATATATATATATATATATATATTTCGTATTTTTAGTAAGACAAGTGAAACCTTGTCTTACTAAAAATACAAAACTTAGCCAGGCATAGTGGCACATGCCTGTAGTCCCAGCTACTTAGGAGTCTGAGGCAGGAGAACCACTTGAACCCAGGAGGCAGAGGTGGCAGTGAGCCAAAATCGTGCCACTGCACTCTAGCCTGGGTGACAGAGCAAGACTCTCTCTCTCAAAAAAAAAAAAAAAAAAAAAAAAAAGTACTTAAAGAAATAATGGCGGTTGCTATGGTTCTGAGGGCAAGACTATGGGACGCTGCCCTGTACAGAAAAGAAGAAATGGCAATAAAGAAGGCAACCATCATTGCCCCCAGCCCAAAAGGAGTAAGAGAAGCCCTGTCTTTCAGGATTCTTGAGATAGAGTTTTCATGCAGTGATAAGGAAAGGAGCAGCAGCTACATTAATATCCCAGAGAGAGCAAATGGACCAGAAGGCAACTTAAACCAAATTGTTACTGAACCCAACATAAACATTCCCCAGTTCTTGCACAAGGGGTATGTACTATGCCAAGGTCTTTATTCCCACATCAACCAGATCTTGAAGGAGGCTTACTTCAACAGCCTGTAGCAGCGAGGACAAGCTCCAGCATGATGAACTAGGACTTCCTTATTCCAACCTACCTAACCTGTGTTTATAAAAAGCAATTGCATACACACCAAAAAAAAAAAGAAAGAAAGAAAGAAACAATGCTTGGCTTTATACATGTCTGCTTAATTTTTTAAAAATAGCAAAAAAAAAAGAAATAATGCTGAGAATTTTTCAAGTTTGTAAAAACATATAAGCTTGCAAATTCAAGGAGCTGAGTAGACTGAAAAAAAAGAAGAATAGGGAGTTACTGGTTATTGTTTAATATATACAGAATTTCAATCAGAAGATGAACAAGTTCTGGATGTGGATGATGGTGATGATTGCACAATGGGAATGTACTTAATGCCACTTTAAAACAGCAAAAATGATAAATTTTATGTCTCATATATATTGCCACACTTTAAAAGAGCTGGGTAAACATCAAACAAGATAAACCCAAAGAAATCTGCATCCAGGCACATCATAATCAAATGGCTGAAACTCAAAGGTAAGGCCAGGTGTGGTAGCTCAGGTCTGTAATCTCAGCACTTTGGAAGACCAAAGCAGGAGGATCACTCAAGCCCAGGAGTTAGAGACCAGCTTGGGCAACACAGTAAGATTCCATCTCTACAAAATTAGTCAGGAATGGTGGTGCATGCCCGTAGTCCCAGCTACTTAAGAGGCTGAGGTGGAAGGATGGCTTGAGCCTGAGAGGTCCAAGCTGCAGTTAGCCAGGATCATGACACTATACTCCAGCCTGGATGACAGAGGGAGACCTTGTCTTAAAAACAAACAAACAGGCTGGGCGCGGTGGCTCAAGCCTGTAATCCCAGCACTTTGGGAGGCCGAGGTGGGTGGATCACAAGGTCAAGAGATCTAGACCATCCTGGTCAACTTGGTGAAACTTCGTCTCTACTAAAAATACAAAAAATTAGCTGGACATGGTGGCGCGTGCCTGTAATCCCAGCTACTCAGGAGGCTGAGGCAGGAGAATTGCCTGAACCCAGGAGGCGGAGGTTGCGGTGAGCCGAGATCGTGCCATTGCACTCCAGCCTGGGTAACAAGAGCGAAACTCCGTCTCAAAAAACAAACAAACAAACAAACAAACAAACAAACACTAAAGAAGCCATATTTTTCTGGAAATATTAGAAACCATGGAAGCAAAATGGCACAACATTCTTAAAGTGCTGAAAGATTTAGGAGGCTGAGGCAGGAGGGCTGCTTGAGGTCAAGAGTTCAAGACCAGCCTAGAAAACATAGCGAGACCATGTCTCTTTAAAAAAAAAAAAAAAAAAAAATCAGCCAGGGGTGGTATGCTGTTGTAGTCATTGTAGTCACAGCTACTCGGAAAGCTGTGATGGAAGGATCTCTTAAGTCCAAGAGTTCAAGGCTGCAGTGAACTATAATCATACCACTACACTCCAGCCTGGTGACAGAATGAGACCCTGTCTCAAAAAAATTAAAAATAAGGCTGGGTGCAGTGGCTCACGCCTGTAATCCCAGCATTTTGGGAGGCCGAGGCGGGTGGATCACTTGAGGTCAAGAGTTCAAGACCAACCTGGCCAATAAGGCAAAACCCAGTCTCTACTAAAAATAGAAAAATGAGCCAGGCATGGTGGCATGCACCTGTAATCCCAGCTGCTGAGAAGGCTGAGGCAGGAGAATCACTTGAACCCAGGAGGCGGAGGTTGAAGTGAGCCGAGATCGTGCCACTGCACTCCATCCAGCCTGCGCGACAGAGCGAGACTCTATCTCAAAAAAATAATAAATAAAAAATAAAAATGTGCTGAAAGAAGAGTTGTCAAGCCAGAATTCTATATCCAACAAAAATATTATTTAGAAATGACAATCAGCCAGGCTCAGTGGCTCATGCCTGTAATCCCAGCACTTTTTGAGGACGAGGCAGGCAGATCACTTGAAGTCAAGAGTTCAAGACCAGCCTGGTCAACGTGGTGAAAACCTGTCTCTACTAAAAATACAAAAATTAGCCAGGAGTGGTAGCCCACGCCTGTAATCCCAGCTACTTGGGAGGCTGAGGCAGGAGAACTGCTTGAACTCAGGAGGCTGAAGCAGAATTGCTTGAACTCAGTGAGCCAAGATTGTGACACTGCACCCCAGTCTGAGTGAGAGTGAGACTCTGTCTCAAAAAAATAAAAATAAAAATCAAAATAAAGAACTGCTAAGGGAAGTTCTTCAGACAGAAAATAATACAAAAAAAAATTGGGAATATCAGGAGCAAGAGATCTCGTAAAATATCTGGGTATAAATAGACCATTCTTCTCATGACTTCTTTAAAATATGTTTGACAGGTAAAAGCAAAAAGATTAACAATGGGGTTTTCAATGTATATTGATGTAATGTATAACAACTATAGAATAAAGGGAAGGAAAAGGGGTGCATATGATGGTAGTTTCTACATTTCAGTTAAGGTGGTAAAATAGTGATTCTAAGCAAACTGTGTAGAGCACTCATTTAGTAATCTCTATAGCAATCACAAAAAAAGTATACAAAGAAGTCAAAATTAGAACTAATTAAGAGAGAATACTAAAAATGTTCAAATAACCCTTAAAAAGACAGGAAAGGGGAAACGGGAACAAAGAAAAAGCCCAGAGGGAACAAACTAAAAAGTAATAAAATTGTAGCTCTAAATCTAAATAATAATAAATATTTAGTGATTACACCAATGTTAAATCGTCTGAATACACCAATTAAAAGAGAAAGTCTGTCAAAACAAACTAAGAAGTACGACCCAACCATATGTTGTCTACAAGAAACTTACTTCAAACATAATTATATAGGTAGGTCAAAAGGATAGAAAAAGAAATATCAAATACAAATACAAATCAAAAGAAAGCTGGAATGCAAAGGTGGTTCAACATTTAAAAAAAAAAAAACAGCAACAATGCAATATACTGCATTAATATACAAAGGGAAAAAAGCACACAATCATATCAATGCAAAAACTAAGGCCGGGCCGGTGGCTCAAGCCTGTAATCCCAGCACTTGGGAGGCCGAGGCGGGTGGATCACGAGGTCAAGAGATCGAGACCATCCTGGTCAACATGGTGAAACCCCGTCTCTACTAAAAATACAAAAAATTAGCTGGGCATGGTGGCGTGTGCCTGTAATCCCAGCTACTCAGGAGGCTGAGGCAGGAGAATTGCCTGAACCCAGGAGGCGGAGGTTGCGGTGAGCCAAGATCGCGCCATTGCACTCCAGCCTGGGTAACAAGAGCGAAACTCCGTCTCAAAATATATATATATATATATATATTTGACAAAATCCAACACCTTTTCATAATAAAACGACTCAGAAAACTAAGCATAAAAGGAAATTTCCTCAACATGATTAAAAGCACTCATGAGAAACTCACAGCTATCCTCATACTCAATGGTGAAAAACTAAAAGCCTTTCCATTAAAACCCAAATGAGACAAGGATGTCCACTTTCACCACCACTATTCAACACAGTACTAAAGTTCTAGCCAGAGCAACTAGACAAGAAAAATGAATAAAACATATCTCATTTGGAAAGGAAGAACTAAAACTCTATCCACAAATGACAGGATCCTATATATAGAAAATTCCAAGGAATCCACAAGAACGCTACTACAGCTGGAAAATGGTTCGGCAAAGTGGTAGAATACACAATCAATACATAAAAATCAGTTTTGTCCATGTGTGTACCTATGCAACAATCTTGCATGTTCTTCACATGTACCCCAAAACCTAAAATGCAATTTTAAAAAATCGGTTTTGTTTCTATATACCTGTAAGAAATCATCTAAAATGGAATAAAGAAAGCAATTCCACTTACAATAGCACCTAAAAACTTTTAAATACCTAGGAATAGATTTAAATAAGGAGATAAAATTTTTTGCAGACTGAAAACTACAAAACATTGCTGCAAGTAATAAAGAAGACTTAAATAAGTGGAAAGACATCTTGTGTACATGAGTAAGAAGGCTTCATATCATTAAGATGTCAATGCTACCTAAACAATCTAGAGATATGAGGCATCCTCTATTTAAATTCCAATCAATACTCCCCTTTTTTTGCAGAAATGGAAAGAGTGATCCTCAAATTTATATGGAATTGCAATGGTTTCCAAATAATTTTTTTTTTTAACTTGAAAATAAATAACAGGCCAGGTACAGTGGCTCACGCCTATAATCCCAGCACTTTGGGAGATCAAGACAGGTGGATCATGAGGTCAGGAGATAGACATCATCCTGGCCAACATGGTGAAATCTCGTCTCTCTAAAAATACAAAAATTAGCTGGGTGTGGTGATGGGCACCTGCAGTCCCAGTTACTTGAGAGGCTGAGGCAGGAGAATTGCTTGAACCTGGGAGGTGGAGGTTACAGTGAGATTAGATCGCACCACTGCACTCCAGCCTCAGCAACAGAGCGAGACTCTGTCTCAAACAAACAAACAAAAAGAATAAATTTGGTCAGAGCATGGTGGCTCACGCCCATAATCCCAGCCAAGGCAAGAGGATCACCTGAGCTCAGGAGTTTAAGACCAAGACCAACATGGGAAACATAGCAAGACTCTGTTTCTACTAAGAAAAATAAAATAAGGGGCCGGGCGCGGTAGCTCAAGCCTGTAATCCCAGCTTGAGCTGGGAGGCTGAGGTGGGTGGATCACGAGATCAAGAGATCGAGACCATCCTGGTCAACATGGTGAAACCCCATCTCTACTAAAAATACAAAATATTAGCTGGGCATGGTGGCGCATGCCTGTAATCCCAATTACTCAGGAGGCTGAGGCAGAAGAATTGCCTGAACCCAAGAGGCAGAGGTTGTGGTGAGCCGAGATCATGCCATTGCACTCCAGCCTGGGTAACAAGAGTGAAACTCTGACTCAAAAAAAAAATAAAATAAAATAAGAAATGAAGTTGGAGGATTCAAACTTCCAGAGTTCAAAACTTACTACAAAGCTATAGTAATCAAAACTGTACTGGCACAAAGATAGGCATATAAACAAACAGAATTAAAGAACCCAGAAATAAAGTCTCACATACACGGCCAAATGATTTCAACAACGCTGCTAAGACCGTTCAATAAAGAACAGGCATTTTACCCACTTTTAAGTGTACAATTCATTGGGAATTATATTCCCAATGGTGAGCAACCAAAGAAAAATCCTGGGTCTAATGGCTTCACTGGTAAAGTGCACCAAACATTTAAAGAAAAACTAACACCCATGTTGTATGAAAGAAAGTGAAGATTAGCACTCCCCTTGACAAGGAGGGAAGAGGTCCTCGGGCCTGACAACACACATATGGTTAAGGCATTGCCACCTACTTACTTCATGGCATCTAACCATCATTTTTTGGGAGGAAGAAATACATTTTATAAAATATTACAGTGAAGTCCACAGTTGACCTTTGACTAACAGGAGTTTTAAGTATGTTAAAAATCTGTACTGGGCAGTTCTAAGAAATTACCAGAGAAAAGCTTTCGAGCTCACCAAAAAAGGACTTCAGTGTAGATTCTTTCTCAAATGAACTTAAGGAACAAATGACAGTTAAAGTTTGAATGGAGGAGCCTGCCATTGTTCCACATCTGGTTGTTGCTGTTTACATTTCTTTGTGGAGCCTATGTCTTCCTAAGCTTTTTAGCAGGTATATATTTGAACACTTCTGTTTCATGGTTAAGACAGAATCAGAGGCCATGGATACTGACAACTGATTTGTCCTTTTTTTTTTTTCCTGTCTTTTCCCATGACTCTTATCTACTGCCTCATCTTGATTTATAAGCAAAACCTGGAAAACCTACAAAAATAAGTGTGGTTTATCTAGAAAAATATGGAAAATATTGTTATTTTTGGTAAAGAAAATCAATTTTGTACAATTTCAATCTAAATAAAATGTGAATTTTGTTAAAAAAAAAAAAAAAAAAAAGAAAAGAAAAGAAAAACTAACACCACCTTCTCAAACTCTTCCAAAAAATTGAAAAGGAGAGAATACTTCCCAACTCATTCCATGATGCCATCATTGCCCTGACACTAAAGCCAAACAAAACACTGTAAGAAAACTACAAACCAATACCCCTCATGAACACATAGGCAAAATTCTCAGTAAAATACAGGGAAATCAAATTCAGTTGTAAATTAAAAAGATTACAAAAAAGATTATACACTATGACCAAGTGAAATTTATTCCTGGAATACAAGGAATACAAAGATGGTTCAATATCCAAAAAGAACCAATCAATCAATGTATTACATAGACAGAATGAATGGGCCAAACATGGTGGCTCACGTCTGTAATCCCAGCACTTTGGGAGGCCAAGGTAGATCACAAGGTCAGGAGTTTGAGATCAGCCTGGCCAACATAGTGAAACCCTGTCTTTTCTAAAAATACAAAATTAGCTAGGTGTGATAGCACACACCTGTAATCCCAGCTACTTAGGAGGCTGAGTCAGAAGAATTACTTGAACCCAAGAGATGGAGGTTGCAGTAAGTGGAGATCGAACCAGTGCACTCCAACCTGGGCAAAAAGAGCAAAACCCCATCTTAAAAAAAAAAAAACAGAATGAATGAAAAAGAAACACCTGATCATCTCAATAGCTGCAGAAGACACATTTGACAAAATTTAATACCATTTTATGATCTAAAAAGCACTGAACGAACCACAAATAAAGAAAAAGACTTCAATAAAGACCATGTATGAAAAATCCATAGTGAACATCATACTCAACAGTGAAAAATTAAAAGCTCTCCTCTAAGATCATGAAGAAGACAAAGATGCCCTCTTTCACCACTTTTATTCAAAGTAGTACTAGAAGTTCTAGCCAGAGCAATTAGGCAAGAAAAAGAAAACAGATCTAGACTGGAGAAGAAATTATCTGTTTGCAAATGACATGGTCTCATATGTAGAAAACCTAAAAATTTCACACACACAAAAAAGCTGTGAAAATGAACAAATTCAACAAAGTAGCAGGATACTTCCCCCTGTTTTTAAAGAGATACCCATCTGTACATTTTTCCTCAAAATCTATCCAGTTTCTAGGCATAGAGCTAGACCTAAGTTTATATTCCTTTATCTTCCATAAGGCCTACGTCATTGCTAGCTATATAGTAAGAACCCAGTGAATATCTGCTGATTGAACAACACTTTTTTTTTTTTTTTTGAGACAGGTTCTCACTCTGTCACCAGGCTGGAGTGCAGTGGCACAATCATAACTAACTGTAAACCCTAACTCCTGGGCTCAAGCTATCCTCCCACCTCAGTCTCCTGAGTAGCTGGGACAACAGGTGCACATCACCCAGCCGAACGTTTTTATTTTTTGCAGAGGCAGGGTCTTATTGTATCATCCGGGCTGGTTTCAAACTCCCAACCTCAAGTGATCCTCCCTCCATGGCCTCCCAAAGTACTGAGACTATAAGTGTGAGCTACCACACCCAGATGGGTGGTTTTTAATGCTCTTGTTTTCTAAGATCTTCAAATAACATAATAACTCCAAATACCTATCTACTTTTATTATCTGGCTATCAAAATGAGGCCAAACAGCTTCTATTTATGGTATATTTTCCCTTTAAAAATGTTACCTTCAGCCAGGGCAACACAGTGAAACCCTGTTTCCACAAAAAATTAGCCAGACGTGGCAGTATGCATCTATAGTCCCAGTTATTTGGGAGGCTGAGGTGGGAGAATCACCTGGGCCCGGGAAGTTTAGGTTACAGTGTGCCATAATCAGGCCCCTGCACTCCAGCCTGGGCACTGGACAACCCCATCTCAAAAAAAAAAAAAAAAAATTGGTGCAGTGACTCACACTTGCAATCCCAGCACTTTGGGAGGCCATGGTGGGTGAACTCCTTGAGCCCAGGAGTTCGAGGTGGGCAACACGATGAAACCCTGTTTCTACCAAAAATACAAAAAGAAATTAACCAATGCCTAATCCTATATACTAGTACACTCCAATTTATATAATTTTTATTGGCCCCCTTAATGAAATCTTTAATAATTAACGAAAACTATTTTTCTCAAACTCCAGATTTTATTCATTACGAAATAAACTTTTAAAAAAACTAACACAGTATATAATATGATTCTCAAGAATATATAAGAATTTCCTAAGGGCTTTTCAAACCAAACATGTTACAGAAGACCCCATCTTTAAGAATCATGGCCTTGGCCAGGCGCGGTGGCTCAAGCCTGTAATCCCAGCACTTTGGGAGGCCGAGGCGGGTGGATCATGAGGTCAAGAGATCGAGACCAACCTGGTCAACATGGTGAAACCCCGTCTCTACTAAAAATACAAAAAAGTAGCTGGGCATGGTGGCGCGTGCCTGTAATCCCAGCTACTCAGGAGGCTGAGGCAGGAGAATTGCCTGAGCCCAGGAGGCGGAGGTTGCGGTGAGCCGAGATCGCGCCATTGCCCTCCAGCCTGGGTAATAAGAGTGAAACTCCGTCTCAAAAAAAAAAGAATCATGGCCTTAGAAAGCTACTTGACAAGGGCAAGAACCCAAAGGAAAGAATTTATAAAACCTCATCTCTACTAAAAATACAAAAAATTATCTGGGCATAGCAGAGCACGCCTGTAATCCTAGGAGGCTGAGGCAGGAGAATCACTTAAATCTGGGAGGTGGAGGTTGCAGTGAGCTGAGATGATGTCACCACACTCCAGCCTGGGCAACAGAGCAAGACTCCAGCTCAAAAATAATAATAATAGCTTTCCACCTCGGACCTGACAGAATGGCTCCTGCAAAGAAGGGGTGGCGAGAAGAAAAAGGGCTGTTCTGCCATCAACAAGGTGGTGACCTGAGAATACACCATCAACATTCACAAGTGCATCCATGGAGTGGGCTTCAAGAAGCGTGCCCCTCAGGCAAAGAGATTCAGAAATTTGCTATGAAGGAGATGGGAACTCCAGATGTGCACATTGATACCAGGCTCAACAAAGTTGTCTGGGCCAAAGGAATAAGGAATGTCCCATACTGAATCCATGTGCAGTTGTCCAGAAAACGTAATGAGGAGGAAGATTCACCCAATAAACTCTATACTTTGGTTACCTATGTACCTGTTACCACTTTCAAAAACCTGTAGACAGTCAATGTGGATGAGAACTAATCGCTGATCGTCAAATACATCAAATAAGCTTAAAAAATTGAAAATAGCGCCGGGCGCGGTGGCTCAAGCCTGTAATCCCAGCACTTTGGGAGGCCGAGGTGGGTGGATCACGAGGTCGAGAGATCAAGACCATCCTGGTCAACATGGTGAAACCCCGTCTCTACTAAAAATACAAAAAAAATTAGCTGGGCATGGTGGAGTGTGCCTGTAATCCCAGCTACTAGGAGGCTGAGGCAGGAGAATTGCCTGAACCCAGGAGGCGGAGGTTGCAGTGAGCCGAGATCGCGCCATTGCACTCCAGCCTGGGTAACAAGAGTGAAACTCCGCCTCAAAAAAAAAAAAAAAAAAAAAAAATTGAAAATAATAATAATAATAATTTAATTGTGAAATCTAATTTGATACCCTAATTTGGTACATAACAAGACACTAAAATGTATTTAGGTTTAATATGCCCTTTTTTTTTTTCATCTTATTATAGAACTTTTTTTTTTTTGGAGACAGAGTGTTGCTCTGTCACTCAGGTTAGAATGCAATGGCATGATCTTGGCTCACTGCAACCTCCCCCTCCAAGGTTCAAGCAATTCTCCTGCCTCAGCCTCCTGAGCAGCTGGGATTACAGGTGCACGCCACCACACCGGCTAATTTTTGTATTTTTAGTGGAGACGGGGTTTCCCCATGTTGGTCAGGTTGGCCTCAAACTCCTGACCTTGTGATCCGCCTTCCCTCCTCAGCCTCCCAAAGTGCTGAGATTACAGGCGTGAGCGACCAAGGCCTTCTTTTTTTTTTCTGACAGAGTCTCACTGTTGCCCAGGCTGGAGTGCAGTGGTGTGATCTTGGCTCACTGCAAACTCCACCTCCCAGGTTCAAGTGATTCTCCTGCCTCAGCCTCACAAGTAGCTGGGACTACAGACGCACATCACTACACTCAGCTAATTTTTGTATTTTTAGTAGAGATGGCATTTCACCATGTCAGCCAGTATGGTCTCAATCTCTTGACCTCACAATCCACTTGCCTCAGCCTCCCAAAGTGCTGGGATTATTATAGGCATAAACCACCATACTGGGATTACAGGTATGAGACACTGCACCTGGCTTCTTTTTATTTTTTTAAGAGATAAGATCTCACTCTGTCACTCAGGTTGAAGTACAGTGGCACAATCATAGTTCATTAGACCCTTGAATTGGGATCAAATGATCCTCCTGCCTCAAACTCTCTAGCTTCTGGGACTACAGCTGTGTGCCAATCTGCCTGGCTAATTTATCTTTTTGTAGAAACAGGGTCTTGCTATGTTGCTCAGGCTGGTCTTGAACTCCTGGTCTCAAGTGACTGATCTCCCACCTCAGCTTCCTAAAGTGCTAGCAGCCACAGTGCCCAGCTTAATATGCTATATTAAAAGAAAATGAGGGTTGATTAAACTTTTAAATACACATTCCATTAATTCAGTGGAATCTGATCTATGCTAAAAGATATAAAAATACTTAACTATGTTAAAGAGGTAAAATGCTTAGGTTATTGGAATTGTAAAAGAAGCTATTTTTATTACCTGTTGAACAGCTAGTGTACTGTCCATTTCATCAAAGGATTCATCAGGCCAATTATAGAAATCCTATAAAAATAAATTCATGGTTAAAGCACATACAAAATACTATTATGATTAACTTCAATTCTTAATAAAGATCCAAAGCTCATACCAGAGGGGAAGAAAAAGGTTTTGCAATGTAAATAGCAGTGAAATAAGGAAATACATTTTATTCAACTTTTCTTTTTTAGAGACAGGATCTCACTCTGCAGCGCAGGCTGCTGTGCAGTGGCACAATCATAGCTCACTATAGTCTCAAACTCCTGGGTGTAAGCAATCATCCCACCTCAGCCTCTGACCTTAGCCACCCTAATTCTTGAGATTATAGTCCTGATCCACTGCATCTGGTTCTGTTTAATGTTTCTAAGTGAATATCAAGATTTTATTTAATTGAACTACAAACTATATTTTTTCCCATCACAAATTCCTCAATTATAGCTCCCATAAACCTTTAATGTATTACTTGAGGAGATAAGTCTATCACTTTTTTATTTATGATGGTTAAGTATCTCTCAAAAAGTTACAATGAAAAAAAATCTCCAGACAACAAAAAGTCAATGAGATTTTCACCAAAAGAATAGCTAGCCTAAGTTGCTAATTTACTACTCCGTAAGTTTTTTAGACAGAGTCTCACTCTGTCGCCAGGCTGGAGTGCAGTAGTGCCATCTTGGCTCACTGCAACCTCCGCCTCCCAGGTTCAAGCAATTCTCTGCCTCAGCCTCCCAAGCAGCTGGGACTATAGGCGCATGCCATCACACCCAGATAACTTATGGATTTTCAGTAGAGACAGGGTTTCACCATGTTGGCCAAGATGGTTTCGATCTCTTGACCTTGTGATCCGCCCGCCTTAGCCTCCCAAAGTGCTGGGATTATGGCATGAGCCACCACACCCAGCCCATAAGTATTATTTTAAAAAGAAATTATAAATTATTCTTTTCATTCTAAATACAGCTTTAAATTTCTAAATCAAAATACGAGCACCATTTAAAAAAAGTAACCATCAAGCCAGGCATGGTAGGCATGGTGGCTCACACCTGCAATCCCAGCACTTTGAGAGGCTGGGTGGAAGGATCACTTGAGGTCAGGAGTTTGAGACCAGCCTGGCCAACAAGATGAAATCCCATCTCTACTAAAAATAGAAAAATTAGCCAGGCATGGTGGCAGGTGCCTGTAATCCCAGCTACCCAGGAGGCTGAGGCAGGAGAATCACTTGAATCCGGGAGAGGAAGTTGTGGTGAGCCAAGATCACCCAACTGCAAGCCACCCTGGGCAACAGAGCAAGACTCCATCTCAAAAAAAAAAAAAAAAGTAATCACTCATGGGTACAAAAAAACAAATGAATAAGACCAAGACCTAGTATTTGCTAGCACAACAGAATGATTATAGTAAAAAATAATTTAATTGTACTTTTTTTTTTTTTTTTTGAGACGGAGTTTCGCTCTTGTTACCCAGGCTGGAGTGCAATGGCGCGATCTCGGCTCACTGCAACCTCCGCCTCCTGGGTTCAGGCAATTCTCCTGCCTCAGCCTCCTGAGTAGCTGGGATTACAGGCACGTGCCACCATGCCCAGCTAATTTTTTTGTATCTTTAGTAGAGACGGGGTTTCACCATGTTGACCAGGAGGGTCTCGATCTCTTGACCTCGTGATCCACCGGCCTCGGCCTCCCAAAGTGCTGGGATTACAGGCTTGAGCCACCGCGCCCGGCCTTAATTGTACATTTTTAAGTAACTAAAATAATCTAATTGGATTTTTTGCAACAAAAAACACAAATGCTTATAATGATATCCCATTTACTCTGATGTGCTTATTACACATCGCATGCCTGTATCAAAATATCTCATGAAACCTATAAATATATACACCTACTATATACCTACAAAAATTTTAAAAAGAGAAGTAAACATCCAAATAAAGCAGCCTTCTATTAAGGGGAATATTTTTATTTCTTTTTTTTTTAAAGAGCAAGGTCTCACTTTGTTGACCAGGTTGGTCTTAAACTCCTGGTGGCAATCAATCCTCCAGCCTCAGCCTCTCAAAGCTCAGGGATTACAAGCATGAGCCATCATGCCCAGCCTAAAGGGGATATTTTTATAGAGCATCTTGTCCTAGTTCTGAATCTCTTTGCAGATAATACAGTTAACAGACATTCCCCTACATAAGAACCTTTCCATTTGACTGATTTTTCACTAAGTTTACCTATGTATCCTCAGTAGGTGGCACAATGCCTGACACACTGCTGGTGTTCAAATGTCTCTGAGGTAAAACTTGGTGGGGAGGGGGGAAGAGGAAACCAATCAGCTATAAACCTGCATATAAATCTGTAAAAGCAATCAACAAAGGTAAGACTTTAAAACCTTGAGTAAAAAAAGCAAACTGGAAGGCCGGGCGCGGTGGCTCAAGCCTGTAATCCCAGCACTTTGGGAGGCCGAGGCGGGTGGATCACGAGGTCGAGAGATCGAGACCATCCTGGTCAACATAGTGAAACCCCGTCTCTACTAAAAATACAAAAAACTAGCTGGGCGTGGTGGCGCGTGCCTGCAATCCCAGCTACTCAGGAGGCTGAGGCAGGAGAATTGCCTGAACCCAGGAGACGGAGGTTGCGGTGAGCCGAGATCGCGCCATTGCACTCCAGCCTGAGTCACAAGAGCGAAACTCCGTCTCAAAAAAAAAAAAAAAAAAAAAAAAAGCAAACTGGAAGAAAACACAGTGTATATAAAATAAATAATAGTTTAAATGCAAAGCATACTTATAGATATAAAGCATACATAGTAAATGTATAGAGAAAATAAAAGGAATGATAGGGTAGAAGACAGAAGAATGTCTTCCATAAGGATTTAAATATATTAGCAATGTCCTTGTTCTGAGAGTAGGTAATGAGTATACCTTTTTAAGTGTCTTAAACATTTCATCTTTTTTTCAATAGCTGCCATATCTGGATGAAAATAAACTTAATTTTATTAAGGGAAAATATCAAGAAGTAAAACAATCTTCTGGGAATAGTTTCAGGATTCCTTTTCTTAGACATTACCTAAATATTAAAGAGCAGTTTTATAATTTTTCCTATATGATCTACACTAAGAAGTTTCTACCAATACTCTTTGTCTATTCTTTCCTTTTTAAAAAACGAAGAAAGTTTATATAATATTGTTTTTTAAATATTAGAAAACGCATGTAGTTACGAAGTCGGCTTTCCATATCTGCAGGTTTCATCTGAAGATTGAACCAACCAGGAATTGAAAATACTCATTTCAGGGGAGAAACAAATTCCAGAAAATGTTACACTGTTGCTGACATGTACTATGTACCTAGGTTAGGTCTGAGACACTTGCATATGTACCAAACACGTACAGGCCTTTTTTTGGTTATTATTCCCTAAACACTACAGTATAATAACCATTTACAGAACACTTGCATTCTATTAGGTATTATAAGTAATTTAGAGTTGATTTAAACTACACAACACAATGTGCATAGGTTACATGCAAACACTATGCCATCATATATAAGAAACTTAGGCATCCTCAGATTTTGATTTGGGGTGGTGGTAGGGGGTTATCCTGGAGCCAATTCCTAGAACACATCTAGGATGACTATACACAGAAAAGATGTTGAGAATAAAATGTTTTGTCTTATCATAACTGTGATATATTTTAGATGCCTATGAAAGACACCAAAAATTCAGCTTAATAAAGATTCTCATCTAATTCGGTCAACTAATACTTATTGAAAACCAACTATGAAAGCCAGACATGGTGGCTCGTGCCTGTAATCCCAGCACTTTGGGAGGCTGAGGAAGGCAGATCACTTGATCACTTGAGATGAGGAGTTTGGGCCCAGCCTGGCTAACATGGTGAAACCCTGTTTCAACTAAAAACACCAAAAAAAAAAAAAAAAAAAAAAAAATTAGCCAGGCATGGTGGCACACACCTGTAATCTCAGCTACTCAGAAAGCTGAGGAAATTGCTTGACCCCAGGAGGCAGAGGTTGCAGTGAGCAGAGATCACACCATTGTACTCCAGCTTGGGCCACAAAACAAAACTCTGTCTCAAAAAAAAAAAAGAAAGAAAAGAAAAGAAAACCAATTATGTGCCTGTATTACAGTCTAACCAACTTTTTTTTTAAGTAGGAAGATACTCCACCTACTCTATCACAGTTTTCTTATTTGTTTTTGAGGTGAAGTTTTGCTCTTGCTGCCCAGGCTGGAGTACAATGGCATGCTCTCGGCTCACTGCAACCTCCACCTCTCGGATTCAAGCGATTCTCATGCCTCAACCTCCTGAGTAGCTGGGATTACAGGGGCCCGCCACCACACCCAGCTAATTTTTGGGGGTTTGTTTTGTTTTGGAGACAAAGTCTTGCTCTGTCGCCCAGAATGGAGTGTAGTGGCGTGATCTCAGCTCACTGCAACCTTCACCTCTCCGCTTCAGGCAATTCTCCTGCCTCAAGTAGCTCTCCCCAGTAGCTGGCACCACAGGCGTATAACACCATGCCCGGCCTTTTTTTTTTTTTTTTTTAAGTAGAGACGGAGTTTCACCATGTTAGCCAGGATGGTCTCAACCTCCTGACCTCATGATTCGCCCGCCTCGGCCTCCCAAAGTGCTAGGATTACAGGTAATTTTTTGTATTTTTAGTATAGATGGGGTTTCACCATGTTGACTAGGCTGGTCTTGAACTCCTGACCTCAAGTGATCTGCCCGCTTTGGCCTCCCAAAGTGCTGGGATTACAGGCATGAGCCACTGCACCCAGCCCTCTATCGTAGTTATTTTTTTTAATTTTTCTTTTGACCCAAAAAGGAAGGAGATATAGTTCTAAATATATCATTTTAAAACAGACCCATTTCACTGAAGGAAATTAATTCATGGTATAAACAAGATAGGACAAACTGCTCTGTAAGCAGTCTTTTTATTTTTTTATCCTCATTTTTCTGTTATATTTTATCTAACAATGTTGATCCATGACAATGTGAAGAAAAAAAAAAGACAAGCTTTCTTCTGTGTGACCCACAGCAACATAGCAAGCATATGTTACAATATTAGTTTAAATATTTTATTTTCTAACCTTTCAAAATTAAGAACTTATGAATAAATGAGATGACTCTCAGAATGTGAACACAAAAGTCTACTTCTGAATATAAAAATATAATCAGAATCAATGTTTCCACAGAATAAGATGTAATGGTATCTGAGAAAAGAGCATTTGGAAGTGTGGAAAAGGTAAAAAGCAAGCATATGTAACGGATAAATTTCCAGTAGTATGAAAACAAAACTGCCAGTAGGAGTAATGTGACTTCAAAATAAGACTTTAAAATTTTCTCTAAAATTCAGCACTAAAAGCAGCTTGTTAAAGAGAAAAAGGTCACCAGTGAATTAAGAATCAGGAGACCATGTATCCGTGGGCAAATCCAGTTAATTCTCTTGGGCTTCAGTTCCTTATCTGTAACATGAATCTGGGGAAGTAATCATACCTGTATGCCCCCTTTGAAAGGTGTCCTTTCCGTAATTCTGTATGAGAAATTAAAATCTATTCTCAGATACACAATCATAGCTCCACAATTGTTTTGTTTCAATTTTCATTTGCATCACTTTTTACCATTTTAAACACATCTCTTTAGAGCATCTAGTCTAAAGCAGGTCATTTTGGCTAGCAAAGTATTAATCAGTTCAAGTCTGGATGCCGCTTGTATTATTATTGTGAGGCATTCTATCTTTTCCAAACCCTAAGAACCAATGCCTAATCAAGCACCAATTTACCACATATAATGCTCTTCAAAAAAAAATGACAAAATTAATCAGTTCATTCCCTGGCTATGCTTCACGCATATTAGCAAGGAATGACATCTAACAAGTCACAACCTGGTGATGAAAACTTGCTGGACCAGAGAACAGCTCCAGAGAAAGCGGCAGAGAGAGGTGGGAAACAGGAGAATAAAGTAATTATCGTCACCCGGATCCGGCTAGACAAGCTAGATGGCAGGGGCCGGGCTGGTACTTCTCGGGTCAGGTAAGAACCGGATGCCGGGTCCAGGTAGGCTGTGTTCACACCCCCTCCCACCTCGCGGCCCCGACCTTCAGGAAGCCCCGGGGGCTCCACCGGGCTGGTCGCGCCCCTCCAATGCCAGTCACCTGGGGCTCAGGGACAAGGCGAGAAGAAGCCGTTGCTGCTGACAGGCTCGCAGCCCCGGGCCTCCGCAAGCAGATACCACCCACAGCCCCCACCCGCCCGTCGCGCCTACACCCTGGGTCGGAGCTCCGCAGGCCTCACGGCGACCGTCACCGCCTCGGCCAAACCGAGGGGCTGTAGCTCCGGAAGAGCAGGCCGGGCACCAGTGCCCCAGCCCGCTCGCCTGCCGCCCCGGCCCACCCTCCCCGCAGTTGCGGCCAGCTTCCGGGCGCGGCACTGCTCGACACCTAGTTGCGGGTCAGGAAAGGTGCGGATACGGTACCTGCGCCTTGGTGCCCGGCCTGTTCCGCCTCAACACTGCAGTCCCCTCCGCCATGACCATAGTGCCAGCGTCTGGGCGGCTGGAGTCGGTACCCGGATGTAGGGACGGCTGCCTGCGCGGGAGGCGGGGCAGGGCGGCGCTCTGCGTCTGGGAGGAGGAGCGGCAGCCGACGGAACAGCCGCAGCCTGAGCCGGGCACGACGGGAGAACCGGGAGCCCTCTGTGGGGAAGCTGGGTTGGCGGAGGGCGAAGGCGAACGAGGAAAAGCCGGACGGCGTCGGGCGGCGACAGAGGGACCGGAAGGCGGGGGCCTCGAGTGTCTTTGGGAGGTCCGCCGGGCGGTTTGAAAGGTCGTGATGGCTGCGGCAGTGTGCACGGCTGCGTTGCACGTTGGTTGGTGTTGGGCTCTGGATAGTTACACGGGAAGAACGGACTTCGTACAGTGGCGACCGCTTCAGTAAACCCATGTGCAAGCAAATACCTAGAGAAGCATAATTCTGTCCCAGAAACCGCCTAGGGAAGCAGAGTAGAAACAGGCCAGCAGTCTGGGGAAATTCCACTGAACTTGCGTGAAATCGACCCAGTCTAAAAATCAGACTGGGGGTTTGAGTGTCAGTGTTAACTTCCGTCATCTGGCGACTTCAAAGCCAAGGACTTTTTCAATGACAGAAGTTTGTTTACATAGATAAAAGACGCAGGTGTCAATTCTGTGAGATGAAGAGTGGACATCTGGTTTTGTGCGTTAGGCAGACAGATTTAGCTTGTGTTTTTCAAGTCAGAAGCAGGAGGAGGAAATTAGTAGTCCTTGATAGATGGTGAGGGTTTTACATCTTACAGGATGTAAGATTTCCTTTGTTGCAAATTTTAAGTGTTCTCTTAAGAAACCACAGCATTTTCGCAAACTTTTTTTCCTGCTTAGAAACCTTGATCTGGGATGAGGGGGGTCTTGGAATATCAGATGGGAAGATAGTTCAAAAAGTAAAAACCTCATACAGTAGCATGATTTCCAGAAGAAGGAAACATCAAATATCCCTAGATAGAAGGTGTACTGAGAATGCTGAGGGAAGGGCCACGTAACAGCCTCCAGAAATGGAAGTTGAGAGTAGAGGAGAAGTTGAGTGGGTCACTAGCTGAGTAATTGTCAGTGACTTAGAACTAAGCTCTGAAAGGTTTAACAGCAGGAAGTTGGTTCTCTCTAGAAGATGTATAGACTGGTAACTCTTCAAGAATAGGCATTTAATTTTGCCCCCCTAACACCAGCGTCTACATATGAAAAGATTTATTCGTTCAATACTCATTCAGCCCCACTGTACGGTAGGCACTAAGGTACAAGTATGATGAGTCCCAGTCCTTCACTACAAATTGCCTAGACTCTAGCAACAGAGACGTGCAAATCACAAATTCTTAAATGGGTTAAGTACCCCTTATCTGAAATGCTTGGGAACAAAATACTGTTTCAGATTTCTGATTATTTTGGATTTTAGAATATTTGTGTATACATAATGAGATATCTTGGAGATGGAACCTATGTTTAAACGTGAAATGCATTAGTTTTCTATACAAGTTACACATATAGCCTGTAGTTAATTTTATACAATAATTTAAATGGGCCAGGAGCAGTGGCTCACACCTGTAATCCCAGCACTTTGAGAGGCTGAGGTGGGCAGATCACTTGAGGTCAGGAGTTTGAGACCAGCTTGGCCAATATGGTGAAACCCCATCACTACTAAAAATACAAAAATTATTCAGGTGTGGTGGCGGGTGCTTGTAAAACTTTAAATAATTTTGTGCATGAAACAAAATTTTGACTGCAACCTGTCATAGAAGGTCAGGTATGGAATTTTCCACTTGTGGCATCATGTGGATGCTCAAAAAGTTTCAGATTTGGAAGCATTTCTGGACTTTTCAGATTATGGATGCTCAACCTGTTATTAAATACAATGAGAGCTTAGGACAAGTAACACCCAAATGTTGCCTCCCTTAGAGAGATGGATTGGGTCTGTGAGATAGCAGAGTTCCAGGGAAGCCTCTTGGTCTGTAGGTAACCCACCTCACTTACTGCATGGATTAAGTTTACATTTCCCAGTTTGTGTGGTATTTCCCTTAGCTGTAAATGGTCACCTATAGTAATGGGATCATCTTCACCTTCTGTTAATTCCAGATTTGTTAAACTGTTTCAGCCCATCTGAAACAAACAAAAAAAGTGAATGAGTAGGCATTACATTTCAGAACAAAATGCTCATTCGTTGTTTTTGAAAAGTTCAATAAAATTGCATTCTGATGTCAACCCTGGCCTTGTTCACAGGAAGGACCTTGTGCTTTAGGGATAGAATGTTTCTAGCTCATAACCTTCACATTTTCATTCCTCTGTCAGCCTGTAGATTATGTACCTCCAAACAAGACTAATTTTATAACTAGGTTAATTTTTCCAGAGAGAAAAGAAAAACAAAAAGCATGATCAGTAATAGCAATTACATGAAATACTTGAATATTTCAGGTAGAGGACATGTGAGTGATCTGTTTAAAGGCAATATACATCAACAGGAATAACTCTAGACTGGGATTCAGAAAATGTTTATTATCTTGCCTGATAACTGTAAGACATTGAACAAGCTATCAAGTAAATGTTTCTTCATGTGTAATGAAGATTGTACATAGCAATTCTTTCCCTCTGCCCCATAAAGTATGAAAGCAAGCATAAAATTAAATATGGACCTCTCGAAGTTGTAGAAGAAAATATTTTATAAAGCCAAAGTATCATAAATAATTTCAAATTATCCATGAGCTTCAAATCATTGGCACATTAAAAAAATTATCCAATATGAAATTCATTTTGGGGAATCTTTAAATCCAAGTAAAAGTTAATGTATATTATGTACAAGGCACTGAGGCTAAGTGCTGAAAAACATGAAGATATATAAGATAAGCTTTCCTCAAAGAGCCTTGAAATTAATGGGAAAGCATCTTACATAGATTACTACAGTACAGGGGAATAATAATAAAATAATAAAGCAAAGAAAATAAATGTGAATGCCTTAAATATTGAAACAGCCCCTATCACATGCTCTTTGCAAACAGACTCTGATCTTGCTCAGTGTTCATCTCTCACTCTATGACCAGGGAAAGGTAAACCCATGTCTAGCTGAGGGATAAATTCCTACTGGCCTAAGTGTGAAAGGGCCAGGCTCTGTGGCTCACACCTGTAATTCCAGCACTTTGGGAGGCTGAGGTGAGAAGATTGCTTGAGACCAGGAGTTCAAGACCATCCTAAGCAACATAGTATGATTCCCCCCAACACACACCCATCTCTACAAAAAATACAAAAATTAGCCTGGCATGGTGGCGCACACTTGTAGTCCCAGCTACTCAGGAGGCTAAGATGGGAGAACTGCTTGAACCTGGGAGTTCAAGGCTGCAGTGAGCCATGATTGTACCACAGCACTCTAGCCTGCGTGACAGAATGAGATCCTGTCTCAAAAATAATAAAGTAAAATAAAGCAAAGAAAAGAAATGTGAAACGATGTGATAAAGCACTTTGGAGAAAGATTTACTTGCTCTTGAGAAGATACCAAAAGAGATGCTGTCTTTTTTCTGCCAATGGACGTCACCCAATATGGGCCTGCAGCAGCCATTTTGGCTTAAAGCAGGCCAGGTGTGGTGGCTCATGCCTATAATCCCAGCACTTTCGGAGGCCAAGACAGGCAGATCACGAGGTCAGAAGTTCAAGACCAGCCTGGACAATGTGGTGAAACCCCCATCTCTACTAAAATACAAAAATTAACCAGGTATGTTAGTGCATGCTTATAATCCCAGCTACTCAGGAGGCTGAAGCAGGAGAATTTCTTGAACTAGGACCCAGGAGGCAGAGGTGAGACACTTTATTGCCCAGTCTAGTCTTAAATGCCCGGCCTCAAGAGATCTTCCTGCCTTGGCCTCTCAAAATGCTGGGATTACAAGTGTAAGACACTGAGCTTCACCCTTTCTCTTACACCCTGAGACAGGGTCTTTTGCTCTTGCCCAGGCTGGAGTGTAATGGCTTGATCACCACTCACTACAGCCTCGACCTCCTAGGCTCAAGTGATCCTCACTTTAGCTTCCCAAAGTGCTGGGATTACAGGCGTGAGCCACTGTGCCCAATCTGCCTTTATTTTCTTGATAACACTATTCTGTATCTAAAATCATGCTATTAATTTAGTTATTTACTGTGTGTTTCCCCCATCTCATTCATCCCTTTATATCCGGTTCCTAGAACAGTACCTGGTACATACTGAAAAAATGAGTGACTTAAAAATACTATAATAAATTAGACTTTTTGAACTGACATTCAAACTAGGTAAGTAAATAACCATTGATGTTTTTCCAAGTCATGTCTTCAGGCTAAATTAGACTGAAAGAGCATTTTGCAAACTAAATGTTAAGTGTCTTAAAGAATTAGGCTTAGGCCGGGCGCGGTGGCTCAAGCCTGTAATCCCAGCACTTTGGGAGGCTGAGGTGGGTGGATCACGAGGTCAAGAGATCGAGACCATCATGGTCAACATGGTGAAACCCCGTCTCTACTAAAAATACAAAAAAATTAACTGGGCATAGTGGCACGTGCCTGTAATCCCAGCTACTCAGGAGGCTGAGGCAGAAGAATTGCCTGAACCCAGGAGGCGGAGGTTGCAGTGAGCCGAGATCGCGCCATTGCATTCCAGCCTGGGTAACGAGCGGAACTCCGTCTCAAAAAAAAAAAAAAGAAAAAAAAGAATTAGGCTTAATCTTTAACAAGGTAGGGGAATTTTGTCTATTCCTTATATCTTTTAACAGGAAAATCTACAGATTGAGCCAAAATCAATTTTTTTTTTTTTTTAAAGAAAAACCCAAACTAGGCTGGTGCAGTGGCTCACACTTTGGAAGGCCGAAGTAGGCTGATCACCTGATCCCAGCACTTTGGGAGGCTGAGGTGGGCTGATCACCTGAGGTTGGGAGTTCGAGACCAGCCTGAACAACGTAGAGAAACCCTGTCTCTACTAAAATTACAAAATTAGCTGGGCATGGTGGCACATGCCTGTAATCACAGCTACTCGGGAGGCTGAGACAAGAAGAATTGCTTGAACCTGGCAGGCAGAGGTTTCGGTGAGCCAAGATCGTGCCACTGCACTCCAGCCTGGGCAACAAGAGTGAAACTCCATCTCAAAAAAAAAAAAAAAAGAAAAAGAAAGAAAGGAAAAGAAAAACCCAAACTATAAAAAATATCTGAAGAAACCATTAGAAAATATCTAAAGAAGAAACTTTAAGTTTTAGAGAAGATTTTTCAGAGTGTAGCATCATACCCAGAA